TGTAACTGCAATTTTATTTAGTTACAAGATATGAAATTCCGTAAAAGTATTTAAAAATTGAAAGCTGAAGCGATTAATTATAAATATGATTATATTCTGCAACTAATGATTTCTATAAATGACAATTGAAAAATATAATTACACACTTAAGAATGTGTAACTTCTCAGTTACATAGTATAGCAAGCGATTAATCCTCTGTTTTTATAGAATTTATATTTATCGTAAAATATCAAACTTGGATCAATTTCACCCCATAAAGTTTTAAAATTTAGAAACACTGTACAAATGAATGTTATTCTTCTTGACTTATAGCGACAGAATATTCGGAATATAAACTTCGCGGTGAGCTTCATGATTGAACATGTTGGACGCCAGTCGAAGCTTCGTCGACCAACAAGAAATTTATGGGAACGAATAGTTCGCTTCTGCACGGGAGCAAAACGATCGATCTGTTGTGGCTTGTTTAATCAGAACGGTAGCAGGTGGTTGGCAGAGTTCCGACTTCGATTCGAGTAACACGATCGCAAAAGCTAATATTTCCTCGAATATCACCGATTGGATTTGAAATTCTCACGCGTATATTTCGACCTTTGGCTCCTTTCTATTTTGACTATTGCGTTAATACCGTCGTCGAATATTTCACCATTTGACGATCGCTCTGCTTTCTAAAAAAGGGAGAACCTTCGATGAAGTTTGGAATTCGTAAAGCTGTTGGCCCACACGATCGTCGAAAAATTATCGCAGTGAACTCATCGTCACTCTATTCTACACAGATCCTTGTAATCAAGCGCCAATTGGTTTTTCCTCTGATTACAAACGGACTCCAACTTTTTCCAACCGGACAGCATTCAATTACATTCCAACGACTTATTGGTCGCCTTTGTGCAGAAATTTCGAGGGACATCTAACGAGGTTGACAACCGAAAATCAAGTTCTGCTGTAAAAGGTCTAATTGCGACAGGAGAAACGCAATTTTCCAGAAACCCTGAAACGTCATGAACTTCAGCCCTACTTTTCCCCTCCTCTTGCCTCGTTTTCGTTCAGTCTTCTTTTCACAAATTTTAATCCAGAGAAGCAAGGAATTAAATGGTTCCCGAAGTTACTCAATTACTCCACTTGCCGTTAAAATACGATTAATACCGCGTTGAACTTCATTCTTGACTGGAGAAATAATTTGCCAACCGAAAAAGAGAACAGACGAGTTTTCATCTGGTAAAATTCTCCCACTTTCCCTTCGACATATCTCTGATTATCCATTGATGCTACTCTTATTAACAAGTGGGATCTTTTCACGGGATCTTTAACTAGTGAGAGAAAAAAGGAAGAAATTTATTGGAACCTGATTAGCTTAAAACAACTTTGACCGATTTGACTTTTATTTTCGTTCAATTAAACTCCTTCAAAGACCGTTTTATCTATTTTTCCCGATCTCTTGGAGAATACATGATCGGTTTACGTTTTAGAAACATTCCACAAACTTACAGCAAAAAATATCAGGAAACGATTATTCAATAGCGTGTGAATTTCTAAAAAAATCGGTATTATGTTGTGTCGAAAGAAGACTTGGAAATAAAATGCTGACTAAATATATATAATAATAAAATACTAATATATACATATAAAAAGTTTCTCTTGTGGAAATTGGATCTCCCGCGTCATCTCTTTTACTGGATCTAGTACACTAGAAGAGAAGAAAGAAAAAAGAACGAGGTACACGAGAAAGGTTCGAATACGGGATTCCTTCAAGCTTCCGGAAATGATATTATCGTGTATTCGCATAACGCAATGATCGTACAATGAACGCGTGGGTACCCTCGTCAGAAAACAGGATACGCTTCTGCAGTGGGAGACAATGAGATTTCCTCTCTGGTTACGAAAGCTATTTGCTCGTTGCGTATTCTGGACTAAATTAGATTAAAATCGGCGTTAAAAGTTTGTTCTCGTAGACACATACTCTTTCAACTGTCAGTGCAACTGCTTTCGTTACACACGAACACTACACCTAGAACTGTAGCGAATTCCACCTGCGTAGTTATTTTTCTGTTGCGAAAACAATAACATATTTCTGCGATTTCGTGAGTTCACGCGAACGTTCTACATAGGTTCTATGATAATTTGTTCAACGTTATTTCGCCCATGCGCCGCGATTTGTAAGTTACACTTTTTCGTTGTTTTACTGTCCTCGGCTGTTTCTACACTGCTCGAACGATACGACAACAACACGGAAGTGTGCTTGGGTCGTGTTTTTATATTCCAGAGCGAAGCAGGGGTGGGATTTTCAATTATCGTAAAGTTTGAACTGCTGCCTCTTCACGCAGCGACACCTGAATCAACCAGGATTTTACTTTATGTTTTCTCAATTATCCAACCCCCTATTACTCCCCGTTTCCATTATCCGTTTCGTCAGAACGTATCCTGCATTTCGTCACGAAGATAACACGTTGCAAAAGTGGATGCAGAATTCAATTTTAACCGGCTAACGCTTCGTCCTATGCGATATAGTTTCTTAACAGTCGATAAATTACTATCGGTCGTAAAGACGAGATTTAATTAACTTGGCAATTTCGTTACTCCGACTGCAACTGACGTTAACTTTCAAAATTAACAGCGCACGTTACTACTATCTCAGACATGTAGTTTCTATAATTGATTTTTAACGGGTTCGCGGTTTAACGCGTTTCTTACGATAGTACATCTACCCTGGTCAAATGTATTACCACAGGTTAGCTTCTCGTTCGCGAAATATTTTCTATTTAGCCTGATTCGTAGAAGAGGCTGTATAAGATAGAAGCAAGATTAAAGAGCTGACGTTTTTTTTCTTTTTTTGCAACTGGTAACGGTAAATTCGAAAAGACCCGAAAGATACTGTCAAGTCGGAAGAACGAGAGGCGCAACGAACCGTGTCAAAGAACGGAAGAAGGAATTCCTTTTCTTTTCCGCAATTACAACTCTCTGGAATCTTATCTGATGGATTTTGTTCTTATTATCGGAGAAAAAGCTGGGATCGGACTGTCGGAGACGGTGCGCGCGTAGCTTAAATGTATCTCGTGCTTAACGAGATCTTGACGCGTCGAGACTTTGACGAATATGATCAGCGATCGCGAAACGTTTCAACGAAATAAACCATTACCGTTTCACAGAGTGTAAAATCATTCTGCTCGCGGTTCCGTTTTACGAGCTGTTTCGAAACGTAGTACGAATGCGGTCGCGGTATACGAATCGCGATCCTTGAAATAACACCGCTGTAAATCTTCCGTTACAGCGAACGTATGAGCAAAGTCGTACGATGACGATATAGGAGAATTGATCGAGTTAATTCATTACCCCGAGTTATATGATGGTGGCTACAGCAAAGCGTGTGTTGGAGAACGTACCACGACCACCGGTTGGTAACGTTCTCGTGAATAAATTGGCGGGACGCCAGATTACTTCCAAAGTCAGGAGAAAAAAAAAACTGATGGAATGGAGACCCTTTTAACCGGCCAACTCTGCTGTAACCAAATACGACAATTACGATGGGACCTCCATCCAAGAAATATTCGACGTTGCTTTCGACGTTATCTATTTAACCTTACGAATGAGCTTTCGTTTCTACCGTGTTATTTAATTTAATGAACCAGTTAATAAACGTGTATTTTGTTTGCACGAGCGAATACGATATCGAAATGGACATATATGAAAAAGTTCTTTTATGTCTGTCAAACAGTTTCGAAATTTACTCACGATATTGAAATAAAAATGTATAAAAAGGTACTTTTATATCCGTCAAACAGTTTCGAAGTTTATCCTCTTTTTTTAGTACGGATTATATTTATCTCTCTGTGTTTGTTAATATGTTATCTTGCAATCGCATTGCTCGATGCAGCAGAACATTTCTACAAGTCAAACAAAGTTGATGTTCTTTCCGTATGCCGTTTCTCATGTCCCGTTAGACTTGAGTTTTTCGCAATGTGCCACGTCGGACGAAACTCTCCTCTCAATACGTACAAAGTTTCCTATATACAGGAAGCGTGAATAAGTTCCTTGACGACATATCGATCTGTAAAACTCGGCGAAGACCACCCGCGTTCGAGAGCTCTCGAGGAATCTTCAAGAACGTCGCCGTCTCTTTACAGATACTCCATTACATCATTCCCTCATCGGTGTCATTGCGGCTCCTTAAGCCGGAAATCTTTGGCAACTTAATTGTTCCGTCCCTCGAGAAATGTCCTACGGGATTCAACATCGATCATGGAATTAAAGGTCGAGCATTCTTTTCTTCGTCACGCAATTACGATTCGTTCCATTCGATCATCACTCCGAATTAGACAATCGGAGACAAAAATAATTTTATTTTAAATTACGACGATTAGTGAAAACATTAGTATAAATAGAGTTTTCGTTAAATGATACATACGGCTAGTTTAGAGAAAAATATAAATATTAGTGTAAATCTCAATTTCAATTATTTACTAAATGATGTATGTGCTATAAAGATATATAATAAATAACGCTTAAGTATCATACTAATACTAGTTCGACCAAACATCATCGATGCCTACTACCACTATCTGTCCATTTATTTCTGTTCCCAAGTGTGCTTCATGATCGCGATAGCAATCATTTCGCTATATGTCAAGCATAGCGCATAATTGTGTAATTGCAAAGACGATTAATCCATCATTTTATAACGAAGTAGCATAAAGATCCTCAGTATTCTTCACGGTTGGAGAAGCATTTTTAATGGTAATTTTGTATAACCTATTTTGAGTAACATTTTTCTATACACGTTACCGCCGCTCGAATTTAGTTTGTGAGATATTGGCAAAAAATTTCAGTTAACTCGAGTTAAGATCGAGATCACACTACATTTCGGCGTATGCAGCGGTCTTATATCATAACATATGGATTTCTAGATCAATTAAGTATTAAATTAATTGATTAACTAGTTATAAGTTTAAGGCACCGGGTTTAGTCTAGATTAGGATAAGGTAGTGATAAAATCAGATTGAAAGTGTATCCTAAAATGAGCTAAAGCTGATCTAAACCTTACCTAAATCTAATTCGAATTAAGTCAAATCTATCCCAAACATTAGAAACACGATATATTCTACCTAGCACACTTTCGTGCATAACTTGCAAGGTAAAGGCGAGCGGCAAAAACATATATGGGAAAAAGTTATTCAAAATAGAGTTCTTGGTAACATATTTCAAGGCCATCGAAAGGCGGCCCCTTTTCTGGACAATTACCGTTTCAATTAATAGTCAGATTTTTAACGAGTTTCGTCGAAGACCCCACGGATTTGGTACGTGAAAGAAACTTTTGCACAGACTTACATACTACTTAAATGCGACGAGAAGCAAAAAAATCAGTGAGTCGTGTACACAGAGACACACGTCTTTTGACGAGGTTGGACGCCACGCTCGAGCGACGTGCTCGTCGCCGGACCAAAAGGGGACAAAAATACATCGGCGAGTAATTTTAAAGTTGCGCAAACGTCTAGAGGCTTGACATTGTTTCACTCGCATGCGAACGAGCACGGGAAAATATTCTTGAGACGAATGTAAGCGGAGGAAAGCGTGCATAATAGCCGTGGCGTGAAGACGAGACGAAATTATTACCGTGTCCTAGGTAACAAAGAATCCTCACCTCGGCCTTCGTATTTGGAGACGTGGTCGAGGCGAACTGGGTCAGTTACGTGTTTGTGTGCATGTGTGTGTTTCGCAGCTCGCGGTTGCTGCGGGGCGCGTGAATTCAAGACCGTTGCATTGTCAGCACGGAAAGGAATTATATCCCGAGATGAGGTATCGTTTTCCACCACCTTGGAAATCCGTCATAAAAGTTGCCGGAATTAATTGCATTCTGGTAGTTTCTGTTCGAACTGAAGTTCGGTCAGTCCTTATCTAATCGGAAACACCACTGTTTTATAGGGTAATTAAGTAAGGTTAATTCGGGAAGAAGGAAAACTTCGTGGCGTTTCAATTAAAGTAGTAGGCTAATTGAGCGAGAGAAATTCAGTTCTTCTTTGTATTTGGACCTTGGACTTCTGCTTTCGTACTTTTACTTCTTTTCATTTTTGGTAAAATTTATTTTCAATTAAAAAATGCAATCCTCCTTCCAGAAAACGTTTACGTATAGCCGTACTTGTAGTTTCTGTGCTTGAAAGATAGCTTTAGTCATGGCGAATCCTCTTTCGTTTAAGTCTTCCTTCTCAGTGTGTTCGCAACGAAGCTTCACCCCTGACATAAACTGTTTTATCTGTTAATTTGAGCAGTCTTTTCAGGAGCAGCTGCCTGGAAAGGATTTACGAAGGATTTTCCAGAATTACGAGTCAGCTCGAGCAGCGATGACAACGATCCTATGTTTGAAAGCCAAGGTGAATGCAACGCACTCTAGCAACGCATCGGCACGCGTATTTTATGCGTGACGTAGGATCGCACTGAATGGACAGCCGCGGCGGAAAGGATGCGGTTAACCTCGCTAGTTTCGTGTTTCCTACGAAGGTGAAACGTTGATGCACACACGTGTGATATTTGCCGCAGGTTCGTAGAAATATGCCGCTTCTTTTCGCTCATCGACCACACGACGATTTCTTTACAACGTTTAAGGAACATCGCGTGAAATACTTTCGGAAATATAATACCGAATCGTTCCATCTTTCAATAGTTTTAATACGTCTTTGATTTATGTTAATAACCAAAGCAATTTCCAGAAATCGTAACGCGAGGTGAATTAAAGCCGCTCGTGAAACATCATTACCATTTATACTATGGAAGATTTAAAATTGAAAATAGCCCTCCGAACATGAAGATGACTCACGATCTTAATATCGTTCCATGAAAACTCACATAAATTGGATCGTAAAGCAACTTTACTCGAAGATCATTCGTTTTAAGCTAATAGAAGCGAGTTCTTCTTCCCTTGTAACGAGCTACGCAATAGAAAATACATTACTTTGATGAACGATTAGTTCTTTTTTTTATATGCGAGACACCGCAAATATTTCATCAGAGTCAATGATTGAAACTTTTTTCTCACTCAAGGCAGAAAAAAAGCGATTTGTACGAGCGAGCTTCGACTAAATTCCTTTTCTATCTTTCCTTCTGCAACTGACGGATGATGAGGTGTGCGTGTTTTTCAAACGAAGCCACGGAAGTTAACCATAAAATTATCTTCCAGTCTTCCACACAAATAATTAACGATGAAAATTTTAACGTCCGCACGACATCTCTTTACGGATGTTTATATCGTTGCTCACGGCGGGAAACGTCGCGTACATAGGCAGCGAGATCCTCCTTCGGTACAAGGTAGGTTCTTCCAAGACCAGTTTTTCTTTAATACGGCACGCCAGTCGGCTCTTCATGAAGTAGTTTCTGCTGAACCAGACAATGGACGATGCAGACGAGGCAGCCTCAGGGGGCTCGTATTTCATTGATATTGCATCGTGAATTCCCGACCTAAATCACATTCTGATAGCCAACCAACCCCCTTGCGCTCCATCCTTCTTCCTTCCTCTCCTATTTTTGTCATCCTCTCTCTTCCTCTTACTCCTTTCACTTCTCTTCTCCCTCTATACAGCATGGCCATTCTATCCCTCTCTTTTACCCCTTTTCGCTTTGTGTATCGTATCGCGAAATTATTCACAAGAGGAGCCTCGAGGAAACTCGGAGAACTCAAATCGCCTTCTGCCGTAGGCCTCGTCCCTATTGCATCTGTTTGTAGCCATCTCTCGTGATCGCGTGCTTGAATATCCCATCTGGACCTCTTTACCGGCTCATTATGCATAAATTACGTAGTATATATTCTATGTGCGATTCCCGATGTTTCTTCGTTTCGCATGACAAACCATTTCTTTCGTGTACGTAGCGCGATATCGTTTCATCGTATTACATAACGGACAGGTTAGGCTTAGTTTTATACTTATCGAGATTATCAAGCGAATACGTACAATATATCGAAAACAGGAATGGAATTAAGTATTAAAGCTGGAAATATATCTGTGACTTGGTTGTTCCTAGAACGTTTATTTAAAAAATTCACATGTACCATTACGAGAAATGATATTGAAATTATATAAGGGTTGAAGAATTTTCATTGAATGGTCCGGATTACTTTTACTTACTCGTTACTTTGCTTGGATGATTGCTTTAGAGTGGAAGAAAAGAGAGGAATCCCATTTTATTCCCATTCCTTCAATTGCTCCCACGTTATTTTCACCGAGTACCCAATCAGATCGAAGCAAACGAAAAGTTTGTTTCCGCCGCACCGGAAGGCGATTAATTTTCGTTCCTGTCGAATTAATAATTCATTCCGAACCGCCCTTAGACTTTGACGATTAATCGTCTTCCCGTTTCGACTTCCTCTTCCTCTTCTCTTCCGTATTCTTCCTGGCCATCGTTTTATCTCGCGGAGAAATTATGCACGAGGCTTCGGGGAAATTTAAGACATAAGAAGAAACCGTTTCCGACCTATCCTACTTGAGAGAGGGAACCAGACAGACTACGCGTTTAATATTATTCAAATGTTACGAAATAACCAGCAAACTGTCCCCTGTTTAAATGAATACTTTGATAAAGTATCTCGCCTATCTTTTAACCACGAATTACCTATGCGCTAAGTTGTTTTCATTTCACCTCCGATTTCTTTCATTTTCTTCTCTGTCCTCTGTCGAGCCAAGGAATTATTCGAGCAAAGAACTTAGGGAAAGATGGAGCGAGAATTCTTTTATCGCGGCATCTGTTTCGAGCCTATTTTATGCAGAGAACTGTTATAGGCTGCACAATTCATTGATCGAAATAATTCATTTCACAAAGCCTCTTTAGTCGTTGGATCATGGAAGGCAATGAATAATCGAATTGCTTTTTCCTTTCAGCTATTATTCAATGATTTTATACAGCGATACTGTTCAATTTGTATGTTCTATGTCGATCGTTTCTTCTCGATACGTTTAAATCAGAAGACGTCGATAAAGATAGACTCGTATAAGTCTATATTAACTCTATAAAAATGGAAGGAGATCAAACATATTTCTTCTTTCTGATTTTCTTAACCAATTAGTTTGGAATTAAAAAGACAATGATAATTTGAAGTCATCATTGCCGTTATTAAATTTAATGATTAATAAACAGAATAATATTTAAATTCATCTTACGTTTTCATTTCGTTGTCTTGAATGAAAAAGGCATTTGATAATTTGATTTCATTTTCACCGTTCTTAAATTTAATCATTAATAAACAGAATAATGTTCAATTTTATTCTACGTCTCGTCGTCCCAAGTTAATTAAGCGGATGGAAGAAAAGATTCTCGGCTCCGTTCAATTTTTATCAAAGCCATAATATTCTGTCCCTATTACGAGGTAGGTGACTGTAAAGGGAAAGTGGAGAATCGTCTGAGCGACGACGACGATACCGTCAGTTTGTAGACATTTTTGATCCGTCGTGCTGACGCGCAGGAAGTTAATTAGTGTCGAGTCACCCTCTCTCTTGTAGCCGTTCTACGGCGAAAATTGTTTTCCAATATGAAAGATCGATGACCTCGTGTTTTTACGCGAGACTATCATGCGTATATAACTTCGTTGACGCCGTTAAAAAGGAAAACGAACACTTTCGTCCAGCATTCATCGGCAGGATTTCACCGATCGTGAAGTTTCACCGTCGTCCAAGTAAGATTTTTTCCCCACTTTTTCACCGATAAACGCGAACGTTGTGAAATTCTATTTAGATTAGCCATCACATCCTAAACCGTTTTCATCGCAGTTTCAAAACCCCGGGCTTTCCAGTTCACTAATAAAATTCATGGCACAACGTAAATTGTTGGAATAAACAGCTTAGCGGCGGCAGAGTGTCTGTGTTCAGTTAATCGTATACAAAATAAGGAAATGACTCGAATGAAATTTTATAAGCGGCTCCTGTAGCGTGTACACGCTCGCCATCGCAACATTTGCATTCTACATGCAAGGAAAATTCATCACGAAGTTTCCATTGGCAATTAATCAAACGAAATTTACGTGAAAGCTAACTAATAGAGTTACCATTAAATAAATAGCCTCGTATTAGATTCGTGCAAATGAAATATTGTTCCTCCGGAGTGTAAACTTCCACGAACCATTAATTAGATTTTGTTCTATCGTCAATTATCAAGCGCATTACAGAAGAAGAAATTTCCTATAAATAACATATATTGAACGTTAAGGAGATTTATTAACTCCGTTATTGTCCACCATGAATAATCGGAATGTTCGCCTGACTCTCCTGTGTGAAATTAAATTTGGGACAAGTGTCATTGAGGCTGCTGGAGACATAAATTTATTAAATGTAGAAGCTGCAACAGCACCGTTCGCGGGATTTTTTTATTCAAGGAAGATAATAGTTACAAATCCAGGATAATGAAGTTATGTATGCATTGAAAGAGCGCATTAAATGGTACAGAAACGATCTTTGTTAAATACACGATGTCATGAAGAAATTAAGCGTGATTAAAATTTAATTCGAAGAGACATTTAATTGCGCATTAATCTGATAACTTAGAGTTCGTATTCTTGCTCGTTAGCATAACTTCTTTGCTGCTTCAAATCGTGAAACAACCCGATTAATTTAGCCAACGTGTCCGACTGTAAGTTTCCAAGGTTTGAACTGGAAAGAATTTCGTATTTCGCCACGGTAGCAAACGTTTATCGATCGTGACGGGAATACTAGCCAGGAATCACGAGCACCGAACGGTTCTCGGTCCTGTTCTTTTCCCTTGGCAAAAATGTAACGCGCGCCGGGTATAATTACCTTGCGTGACGAACAGCAACGAAAACGCGGCGAGGTTTCGCGAAATTTATAACACAAGGCGCGAGCTCTGCTCGCGATCTTCGTGAAACGTAAAATATCGCGTTACGATAGGAGGACGAATGCAGAAATTTAATAATGTACACGCAAGGTAAGTACTAACTTTGTATGCACCCTTTTTCGATAGCGCAATAACCTTACGACTCGGACATCCGATATGTATTTAACTTTTTGTTTGCACGTTTCACGTGCGCAATGTGTGTAGGTATGTTAAAATCGAAATAAAACTTTATGGACGAACGTATAAAAAGTTAATGCTTTTCTTTAAAGGTTTCACTCGTTAATTCATACATACGTATGAAATAATGATGTTGGTAAAAAGAAAGAAACATTCACTGCGATACAAAGCGCGATATGCGTATTTTCGAAACACTTAACATTACAAGCGTGTAATTAAAAAAATGCAAATAAAACACGCATTACAGAAAAATGTGTACATAAATTCGAGTACTGTTACTGGAATGCCGAATATGTTTGACATCACTAACGAACGAATGACTTTATATTCAGAAATTCATACAATCATCTTTGATTTCTGTAAATAGACGTACAGTATACTATGATTTAGCTACTCGAACCATTCTCAAACAAGAAATATCTCTTTCGGTACATATTACATACCTACGACTTTACGAAGTTTGATGACTCAAAAAAGAATGCGGTAGAACATGCTAGTGAACCTACACATTTTATTTTATAGATAACCTGTATATTTCTTAGTCATGTCAACCATTGAAATATGCATTCCTCACTCGATAAGGAAAAAAAGTATGTACAAAAGGTTCTTAAGTTCTTACTTGTTGGTCTTGGCCCGAGCCATGTTGTCCCAGCTACGAACAGGGCTGTTCAGCTTGCTAAAGGACAATTCCCTCGATAAATAAGCAGAACAGTGCCAGCTGTGCCTCCAGAAGATGCTTCCGCTCACCCTTTCACGATTCTTCAGCGACGACACCACACCTTTTTCACTCATTTCACTCGGCGTTGACGATAATTTACCTCGTCAAATATGATTCACACGTGCACACTTTGGCCGCATCGCATTATTTCGATAATTAACGAGCAACATACGTTTCTGGAAAAAATATCGTTTCCTGCTGCGTCCGAGTTTGACAATAACCTCGTGCTCACATTTTGA